TCTGCTTTTTCGAGCATTTTTTAAACTTTTCAAGTTTGAATGCGAATTACAGCCATAGCGATAAAAAGTGTTTTCACATTTCATTGATTTTCACGAAAACTATAATACTTAGAATGAATCCAAAAGATGTATATGAAAGCTGAATGTTTGGGGAATCCAACATGTATTGATATGTTACTGTGGTTTTAGCCGTTTGGCTGTAATTCGCGTAAAAACGCATTGTTTTCCAAACTATCTAATACCAAAGTTTGATAATCAATTGTGACGAAACTATGATAGCTACAAACATGTGATTACACTCTTTTTAATCTCTATGTAATCAAAATCAACATTAATGTCCAAAACTCTTCTGATAGTTGGTGTATACGAAGATACAGACCATTTTCGAAGACGTTATTTTCCCAACTCATTTGTGAAATACCAAAGTTTGTTAATGAATTATGGGGATACCATTGCCGCTACAAATTAACATTTGCGCTTATTTTAATCCGTATATATTCAAGATCAACATCCATTTATAACATACTTCTGGGAGCTGAAGTTTACTAAAATACAGGCTATTATCTAAGTCGTTGTTTTCCTATTTGTTCTTCAAAGTGTACGTGTATGTTTGGTTGCCTGTCCTTTAGGCGTAAATTATATTCTCATTTTTGACAGCTGGCGCCATCTGTTAGCAATATCTCAAATGTTGCAGTTCAGGCATTTTGGCGCTGCACAAAATCCATATTTGTTGGAGTTTTTAGGAGATAGTCTGCAACAAGCTAACGTATGTGTGGTTGCAGACTGTTTCTTAATTCTTTCCACTTAAAACCGCTAACGCCTTGAAGCTTAATAACTTTCTTATTAATTGCGTTGCGCAACTTTTTATATAATGTGTTATATTATGTTTAATGTTTTATATAATGTTTTTTTAATGTTTGTTACGTAACAGAGAAACGTTTTTTTCGACAACCCCTTGTCGACGTTTTTCTCGACAACCCCTTAAGATAATTACATCATCGACCACTCTTATGAAAGCTGAATGTCTCACCTTTCTAACAAGCCTAAAAGCATCTTCGTACTACTGCCGAGTCACCTGCTATGAGCTTTAGAAATTGGAAAAAAGTGAATTGAATTTGCACAAAAACTGATGTTTTCAGTTTTTCGAT